TGCTACCGCCAAGCCAAAGAGCTGTCGCAGATTACACAGCCCGTGAAATCCAATCCCTTTCTCTGCTACGGCAACAGCTGTAGGGCTTCAGCTGAGGCAGGGGAAGAGGGCTGGTTGCTGCTCAGGCTTTCCATGCGGGGGGGACGGGGGTGCAGGGGTTTTCCGTGAGCCCCGTGTCTTGCCCCTGCTCGCTGCTGACAGCGACAGGCACCGGCGGACACAGGGTGGGGATGCAGGGCAATTTCCTCGGGACTGAAAGTGGATGGGATGTGGGAGCCCGCGCAAAACAAACATCGCTTTTCCTGAAATTCATTCCCAGCCTCGCTTCAGGACATCAGTGGGTACATCAGTGCATACGTATTAGTAAATTCTCATGCAAGCAGCACACACACACACACAAACACACACAGGATGCAGCCAGTCACAACAACGTGGTTCAAGCGGGTTTCAAGGCTGCTCTAGTGTCCTCTCGAAGTTCATTTTTCCTGGCAATTTTTAGTCAGCTCTTTAACTATTTATTTATTAGGTTCATCCCTGCACGCTGGGCTGCCAGACCTCGCAGCACACGCAGGGTGATCACGGCTCGCAGCGTGGGAGTGCCCGGGTGCTCAGTGCTGCCTTTGCAGCGTGTCCTGAGACTGACACGTGGAGAAATCTGCTTAGCACCAGCAGAATTGGGTTTATCACAATCCCCAGCCCCTCCTCTCACTTGTTTCTATTTCTCCACACCCTGCAAAAGAAAGAAATTTGTAATACAGCTGATTCCTCCCTCTCTGAGGAATTCCTCTAATTGCATCACAGGTGGGACTCCTCTGAGTCTTCCTGAGTTGTAAAAAATCACAGCAACAGGTTTCGGCTGGTTTTCTTGTTTCACAGAAGTATTTGGCTGCTCGTTTGCATTGTGTCAGCCAGGTGTGAGGTGAGAGAGGGTGCAAATAAACAGCCCCGGGAGTGTCCTGCAATCTCTGTGACTGCTCTTCTAACACACCAGGGCAGAAGGTGAACAGGTAAAATCAGCTGAAGGAAAACCTCTGTGTTTGCACAGCAGTATCACGTTGTATTGGGGCAGATGTTGTGCTGGGGATTTTTATGCTGTTGGCTCTGAATAGGTTTCAGTGCCTGAAATTCTGCAGATGTCAGATTTCTGGACCCAGCTTTGGAATAGGCACACAGCATTTCTATAAAGGGTATGTGGAAATCTGTCAAAATAGAATGTATAGCTCTGCTTCCACCCTCTGCAGACACTTAGCACAGGCATTTGTGAAAACTGGGTCTTAGCAGAACTCAGCATTTCTATTAAAGCAAATTATGGTGGTTTTTTTTGTGTAATTAATGTATACTATTCTATCTAATTATATACTATCACCTCTACAGCATAATTTAGAAAGATTGTATATAATTGTATCCAATTAATATACAGTTTGTTTGCATATGAACTGGATAGTGGCTCATAAGATGTGTGTTTTTATGATATGATTTTATCGTGTGGAAATGTAAAATATATATTATATATATAGTATAATTATATACTGTATAAAAATAATATATAATTAGTATAAATGCTGTGTGAGGCACTATGCAGATTGTATGCAACCTGTATCTTCTTGTGAGTGTGATATTCACATCAGGAAAGAAAACATGTTGACTGTAGGTAGTGCAGGGAGGAAGGGCAGTGAAGGAGGGAGACAAGGAGATGGGACTGCATCAGCACAGGGGATGCAAGAGTCAACAAGATGACATGTTTCAATGAAGACCTGCCACAGCTGCCCTGAGGATGCAGGCAGCCAGAAGCAATAAATGCCTCCTGAGGTGCGGTCAGCAGCAAGAAAGTCAGTAAACCATGACAGCAGTGATACAGAGTAAGACGTCTCTAACAGTTAGCTAGTTTTTGGGTTGCTCTGCTGCCATCCCCATTTCTATGCTCAGTCCTTGAGACTACACCAAGGTCCAGCCTTTCTGAACTATCTTTCGACATCATCCTGACAAACAGCATGTATTTTTAGAAACAGACATTCAAAACAAGAAGCCCAACCTGGCCCTGTGGTTTGATGCAGTGACAGCTCATTTGGCTGCAGGAATCTGTTCCCCACCTCCAGAGCAGCACTTGACCAGGGCACGGGCCATGGTGTAAGAGCCCCAGTCAACACTGCACTGCAACTGGCTGTGCTGAGCACAGTGATGGGCGTTGTTTCAATCTTTTAAGAATTTTTAAAGCCCACATGAGACAAAACCATGGCTAAATTGAGAGGAGACAACTGTTTTTCCACAAACCTGGAAGAAATTACTATATTCTTTTTCAAGGTATTGGGAAACCTGCATTCATTGTCACTGGCTTATTTCCAGTTTCATCCTGGAATTGAACGTGTAAGGCCTAACATCCAAGCAGTGCCCTGCTGTTGCAAGTCCAAGGAATGCAGCTCCTATGTTGGAGGTTTATCCCTGCATAACTTATAGCCTAAAATCTTTCCTTTTGTCAATATGATGGAGTTCTGTGACTATATATTTTAACATTATTTGACTGACATAATGCATCATTCTCACTTGGTTTATTTTTAAATATTTAACAATTCAACTGCTTGTTTACTGAGCTATCAAAAAAATGCTACCAAGCTGATAATTTCCAATTGTCAAAGTGATTTGAGCACAACAGAGATAATTTATTCAGTGGGCATACTCCAAATAGCCCTTCTGAGTTACACTTCTTGGTAGACATCTAAATATTAAATGATAAACTCTTTGAG